ATGAAAGTGATTGTATGGATACTAATACCGCTGTAGCAAAAAACGATATTCGGCCCCGTCCTGAAAATAAAACCGTAGAACTTGGAGACCTTGCTGCCACGCGTAATTTAAATGACAACGAATCTGCTGAACATACCACGGCTGCTGAGAACAATGAATGTAATACAACTGATGACTCGATTAACTCAAACGACACCGCCACGCCCGTCAAATCTCTATCTGAAGAAACGTTTCAATTTTCAGTACCTAGTATACCAACGAAAACTTTCAGTTTTACTGGCAACTTTAAAATTCCACGATGCACTGAATACGAACAACAAAAGGATTTATCACTACTATCAGAAGATGCAGTGCGCACCTTTGTGAACTACTCTTTCGACTCCAGGAAAGTAGGCAAACTTGCTACCCAATATTGTCCTAATTTGAGTTTACTAGTTCGATCAATCAATCACGTGATAGCGCATTCTAGTCTAACCAAAAAGGAAAGAACACGCATGGAAGGAATTAGCCGAAAGTTAGGATACTACCTGATTCAACAATCAAGCAAGTCTGGAACCATGTAACTGAAGAATGTACTTGATTTGATAATGAACTGATAATTGAGATGTATAATTGACACTCGATCCAGCTTTTCTTGTATTTGCTTTTTTTACTATTCGGTATACTTATCGTATAACTACTAATACGTTTAATATAGTTTACTGACTCTATTGTTTATATTAAATAATTACATATATCAGTTTGTATTATATTTCTGTTTTTACTTTACAACCTACAATGTATATAAATTATTGTTAATTGATTTATTTTTATATCGTGTGTGTGTGTGTGTGTGTGTGTGTGCCGCGTGTGCTGTGTGTGTGCGTGTGCGTGTGCGTGTGCGTGGGTGGGTGGGTGGGTGTGGGTGTGGGTGTACTTATAAAGTTCAAACCTCGCACATACATCACCACTCTTAGGATTGTAACGACTGTTGTAACGTTGTTTTAATAGCGATAAAGCAATTCTATGTTGTTTAGTGATCTTACTTGTATAGCGCCCCCTAAAGTTAACAAACAAACAGACCGGGACCTGCCATCTTGAATAGAAAGTTATTCAGATTTGATGGACGAAGATAAAACAAAAAAGTTTTGGTATTTAGCACCTATCCCCGGAATAGAGGGACGCTTTGTGATTCCTATAGTTCATTTTGACATGATTTTTGTGTAATTTTGAGTATAATTTTGAGTTCTATATGGAGAAAGTGAAAAACGCATTTCCGAGTGCACATAACATGACGCCATTGCTAAACTACATGTACTTGTTTATCGGCTATGAAACGGCGGTTGTAAAACGTTGTCGTGATGGGATTACGTCCTTCTATATTCTATATGCCAGTGAAGTGTTGATTGGGCAGTGTACGAGTCTATGTACATATATTAATAGTGGACTGGTTTACTGGATATGCCTTTGCTCGAGTAACTCTATATTTGTTTACATTATCACTTAGTATTTGTATTTCTTTGTTTTTCTAGTTTTACATCAATTTGTAATTCTCTCTATTATATTCAATGAACATTGACACTGGAGTAAATCAGTGAGCCAGTGAATAAACGACATTGGATATTGGAGTGATTTATTTCTGACGCTTGCGAACCGTGAGCCATGAACCAGGATTTTTACAAAGACAAGAGTACATTGACTCATTTAAGTCTGCCGTGCAGTCTTACTTTGCCGAGGAACAAGATAGGAAAGATCGTTATGCTGACGTTGACCAATACGACAGTGTTTCTCAAACAAGCAGAAAATCCAGAAAATCCAGGAGCTCATTCCACCCATACAAATACTAGTATGCTATGACTCCAAGAAGACCAGAAAAGAGCTGAGTACGCTGCTCGTACTGCCACCCACCAGGAGCGAATGCGCCTAGAAAGTGCTGCTCTTCAAAAACGACGTCTAAAATTGATTAGAAAACAATTAAGGAAATGCAAGATGATCTTGAGTTCGATATTAGAAATATGAAAGAAGAAATACATCTCAAAAAAGTAATTGCCATTAGTGAAAGTAAGTCAAAAGTGTTAGATTAGTATGAGCAAGACGGAAGTCAGAGTGGGACAAAAACGACATATCATGGTCTATTAAAGGAACCTTCCTACCATGCTGACGAGACTCATTATGCTAATACTGCTGATGATGACACGAAACCAACAGAAGGGAGACGTATACGCTTCCAACCTGATACTACTGGACTATCATCGTTTAACCCCACACCATTATATCGTGGTGATTCATATGATCATTACCCGCCATTTGCTGAGTTGTGCCAGTTCTTAAGTAGAGATGCTCATATCGCATGTAGCCCAGCCAACTTGAAAATAGATGATAAGAAAAAAAACTCAAAGCGTGGAAGAAGTAGTAAATATAGTGGTGCGAAAAGTTTTGCAACAGATGCAGATGAGGTTAAGAAGACTGCTGCTGTTGAGGAGAAACCCACCTCAACCATCAACACAGCTAACGTCAAGCGATGTTGTGTTCTATGTAAATAAAATATCTTAGAGAAATGTAAAGACTTTCTCAAACTGAAATTTACAGAAAGAAAAGCTGTTGTGATGTCTAAAGGGCTTTGTATGGGATGTCTAAAATTGGGACATAGATACCATGATTATAAATGTAAGAAAGTATGTGACACTTGTATGCGTACTACACGATGATGCATTCAATCCAAATGTTAATGTTGGCAGAGAGCCTAAGCTTGATAGCTCCATATCACACAGCTTGCAAGTTAAACATACTCATGAGCAGAATAAAACAGAGAAAGACATGCTCACATATCGTTCCTGTCATGTTACATCACCAAGAATCTCCAGGTCACCAAACATGTATGCACTACTAGACCCACAGTCAGATTCCTGCTTTTTATCAGAAACCACAATGAATAAGATCCTAGCAAAATGATCTACAGTTAATTAAAGCTATCAACTATGCTAGATGAGAAAATAATTGGTTGTTAAAGATATGGAGGGTGTAACAAATATAAATTTACCAAGTGTTTACACTAGAGGTGATTCCAGCCAGCCACATAAGAAAGTCGCAGAGCGATGCTGAGATAGGCCTGTTAATTGGTCTGAACTGTACTCGTGCTTTGAAACCCAAAGATGTCATACCTTGCAACGAGAACGACCCACACGCTGTCCAGACAGCCCTAGGTTGGCATGATGCACAACAAGAATGATGACAGCATTAATACCTACAACTGCAGACTTGTGAGTGCAGATGAAAAAAGATATCACTTGTGCATACAAAACACAAGCAAAAAAATTAACCCAGTTCAGTTAAATAAGATGTTCGAAGTTGACTTTAATGAGAGGAGTTCAGAAGAGTCTCAATCGAAGACAAACGATTCTTGACGAAGATCCGTAATGAAATCCATCAAGAAAACGACAGGCATTTTGAAATTTCCCATCCATTTAAGGATGATAATATAAAACTGCCAAACAATAAACCACTGGCTGTGAAACGATTAGCAAGGCTAACAAATAAGGTGATAAAGGACTTACAGTATAAGGCAAGGGATTTGCGGAGAAGATACCTACTGATGAAGATTCTCAAGTAAAAGGTATATGGTATATTCCTCACCATGGTGTATACCATGCTAAAAAACCTGGAAAGATAAGAGGTGTCTTTTACTGTAGTGCAGAATATCATGGTGAGGTCCTAAACCATCATCTATTACAAGGACCTGATTTGACTAACAACCCTACAGGAGTATTGTGTCGTCGGAGTCGATTCTAAAGACCGTGACTATCTAATATTCCTCTGGTGGGAACATGGAAAGCTATACCAAGAGCCGATTGAGTTTAGGATGACTGTATACCTTTTCGGAGCCACATCATCACTGGCTGAGCTGCATCACTTCTGTGATGCAAGTCAGACCTGTTACGGCCAGTGCAGTTATTTGAGACTGATGGATGAACACAACAGAGTGTCTTGTTCTTTGGTTATGGTAAAGGCCAGAGTGACCCTGTCAAAGTCACTCACCATTCATAGATTAGAACTAATGGCTGCAGTGAAATATGTAAGAGTGAGCAATTTCCTAAAATATTAAGATATATCTCACACTTATTGGACTGACAGTATGGTGACACTAGGCTACATAACAAATGAGGCAAAGCGTTTTCATATCTTTGTGGCAATCCGAGTTCAACTAATTAGGGATTTCACATCTCCAGAGCAATGGCGACACATTGCTACCAAAGATAATCGTGTAGACATAGTGTCGAGAGGAAAGAAATTGAGTTCTTTATGGTGGAAGGGACCAACATTCCTATCGACAGCAGCGACTTTGATTCCAGAAACCAATCATGTAGATCTTGAACCTAACAACCCAGAAGTCAAGAAGGGAACTGTGGTGGTCACAGAGGTCGAACCCGACAGCCATGCAGACATATTAACAAGAGTGGAATATTTTTCGAGTTGGCATAAGGCAAAGCGAGCTATCGCTGTATGTCTACGATTTAAGCAGAAACTACCAAAAGTCTGTAAAGACTTAAAATCATTGAAGGAAGTGATAAAGATATCATACATACCTGTTGATGTTGACGAAATGCGAAGGACTGAGCAGGAAATCATCAAATTAACACAACAACAGGAATTTGCTAAAGAGTTGCAGACTCTCCATAATACAAAATTATCAAGTACCACGACTGGTGAAAAAACACACTGAAGAAGACAATCAATCTATTCCGACTGGACCTATACCTTGATGAAAGTGAAATACTTTAGGGTAGAAGGAAGAATCAAAAGAGTCAATCTTCCTAGAGATATAACCAATCCAGTGTTACTGCCTAAGAAAGGTCATGTCACAAGTTTGATAATTACACATTACCATGCAAGAAGTGGACATTCTGGGTGTGGTGATGAAGCTTAACGAAATTCGCGCTTCCGGATACTGGATAATAGCTTCCATAGCAACAGTTTCGGCCTTCGTGTGGAAGTACATTCAATACCGTAAATTATGTAGACCTGCACAAGGGCAGAGGATGTCTGATCTACCACGAGACAGACTAGAACCCACAGCTCCATTTACTTGTAGTGCTGTGGACTACTTTGGACCTTTCTATGTAAAAGAAGGACGCCGGGAACTAAAACGATATGGTGTGCTCTTCACCTGTTTGAGCTCACTGTTTGAGTACTGATTTGTTCCTAAATGCCTTCCACTACTTCATTAGCTGCCGTGGACCGGTTCTACAATCAGATAGAGGAAATAATTTTGTTGGTGCAAAGGGTGAATTACTATGTGTGTTGGCAGAGATGAATCACGAGAGAGTGCATCATGAGCTTTACAGGACAGTTGTGATTGGGTGACATTCGAAATGAACGTGCCTCATTCCCGCCACATGGACGGAGTTTGGGAGAGAATGACTAGATCCACCAGAAACACTTTGTCTGCTTTACTGATGACACATGGTAAGCAGCCTTTTGACGAGTTGCTGAGAACACCCCTTGTTGAAGCAGAAGCCTCACATACACTGATGTTAGTTCAACAAGCTTGTTAGAAAACCACTCTCCCCTAGTCAGATATTGACATTAAAATCAAACGTAGTTCCTCCACCACCCGGAGAATTCCAGAGAGCTGATGTGTATTGTCGCCACCATTGGAGCAACAGAAATGGGTTGCCTCCCAACCAGATCTAAGAAAGATGACGTTGTGATGATGAACGATAGCCTGTCGCAATCCAAATGGCCACTCGCACACATCATCAAAACCTTTCCCGGAGAAGACGGCCATGTCAGGAAAGTCCGCTTAGCAGTTAGACAATCTATTTATGATCGACCAATACATAAATTTGTGTTGTTAGTTAGCCAAGGTATCCCCGTCAACGAGCCTGATGTTGAAGAATAAGACAATCCTCGATAGTATGTAGTAGTATTTGTAGATATAGTCTTTTGATTTTTTGTTAGGTAAATTGCTTCAATTTAGAGGAGCCATGTAACGAAGTGTCGGCGTGGTTTTAATAGCGATAACGCTATTCTTTGTTGTCTAACTTCTATAGCGCCACCTATAGTTAACAAACAAACAGACCGGGACCTGCCATCTTGAATAGAAAGTTAGTCAGATTTGATGGACGAAGATAAAACAACAAAGTTTTGGTTGTATTTAGCACCGATCCCCGGAATAGAGGTACATTTTGTGATTATAAGTTACTGTAGTTCATTTTGACATGCTTTTTATGTGATTTTGAGTTCAATTTAGTGTTCTATATTGAGTAAGTAAAAAACGCATTACCGAGTGCACATACCAGCATGACGCCATTGCTAATCTACATGTACTGAATATTTGCAGTGAACTTGAAGTGTACTTGTCTATCGGCTAAGAAACGGCGGTTGTGAAACGTTGTCGTGATGGGATTACGTCCTTGTATTTTGTATATGCCAGTGAAGTGTTGATTGGGCAGTATGTGAGTCTATGTAGATGTATTAATTGTGGACTGGTTTACTGGATATGCCTTTGCTCGAGTAATTCTATACTTGTTTACATTATCACTTAGTATTTGTATTTCTTTTGTTTTTCTAGTTTTACGCGAATTTGTAATTTTCTCCATGACTTATAATCAATGAACCTTGACACTGGAGTGACCTTTGTGAGCCAGTGAAAAAACGACATTGATGTTAAATATTGGAGTGATTTATTTCTGACGCTTGCGGACTGCGACCCCTCAAGTGAACTCTTTCATTATAGATGAAATTAATGAGTGAAACGATTTATCACTAATCATTCACCACAAGGATATATATGCAAGTCCACAAATATAACAGCGGGCATTTTGTTTTACTGAGTATTTCTGGTACCCGGGGGTCACTCTATATTAAAACCTTACACCATGTCTGTTCTTGCTAAAAAATAATAGGCCCCCAGGATTGGCAACGCATTGGCAAACCATACCCCTATTGCGGACGCACTGTAAATTTAGTACCCCCTAGAGCAAACACCCCGTATTGCAGACATATATTGAGAACATTCTACTCCTATTGCGAGCATTTTCTGCCGTTTTTTGCACTAAAGTGGAGTGTGGTAAACTCAGACAAGCTACTTATGGTTGCTGTGTATGCAACTTCTGTTGGTGTCATTCGTTGTTTAATGAAGAAAGATGAGAACTATTGACATGATTCGGGTGGGCGTTTGGGGCTTGGTTGGGGTATGGCTTTGCCAATTCGGGGCCCAGGGCGGTGTATGGAAGTGGTTGTTGCAATAGTGTGGCCTAAAACGGGCACAGCAGCCCTGTGAGTTTATTCCTGGGGGCCTATTGCAGATATTATAAATTTAAAGGGGGCCTATTTGCCCGCGCAGGCCAGCTTAAGAAGGTCAAAATACTTTGTTTCTCCGCTAAATTTGGAACGCAGATAGTAACGGCATATAGAGTGACCCCCGGGGTCTGGTATGCCTTACCGATCATGTTGAATTTCAAAGTTAGTGTTTGCAGTCGGTGAATATCCTTCTTGAGATATGATTTGAAGGTTTCAGAAAAAACAATAGCAGTGTAAGTTTACGAACATACTTTGTTTGACTGGGTCACATGGGGCCTTGTCACCACTTGTACTGAAGAGTTTCAAATACAAGTTTGATTTACATGCATTTACTAAGCGTTGAACGGATGTTGGGGGTGCACACACAAATTAGGAAAACGTTTTTAAATATGTCTTAGGGTTGAAAACTTCTCTGGTCTACTGATTGTACGATATTACATCGCTTTCAGTATATTTGATAACAAAATTATCTACTTGGTGCAGATTTATCAGTTCATACTGGACACATGAAAGTAACACAAATATAGAACGGTTAATATTTACAATTAATCAGAATACATGGTTGTAAAATGTATACGTACCAGCATCTAAAATTATTAGCATTATTCTAGGCGAGGTATAAAATACCACACTTAATATAATGTATATACCATTTTTATTACCATAGTTACATAGCACATTTATTTCATAATATCTCGTAAAATACGAATATCCATACATAAGTACCTTAGTTAGAGTAACATGTTTTTATAACCATTATGACCCACCAGACGAATGTAGTAATTCAGCAAATGATCTATCACGGGTAACTACTGTATTCAGCTACGAAAACAATTATAAACGCTCCAAACCCGGAAAGCAAATCAAATGCAATGATATATGTGTATAGAACAATACAAGTGGTGAAACACCTTGCATACTACTACATCACACATGTATAACCAATGTGTCGACGACAGTACCACTCACTTGAACAGATCAGACTAGCAGATTACAATGTTCATAATTTGTGTTACTTTTTCAAGCATTCAAACTATAAATATTTGTTATATAGAATCTGGGGCCTAACTTAGAAATCCATAACCCATTAAGCAGTTCCTGACGGTGCATTATATTTTAATTAACTGTGGTTTGCGTATTAAACACCTGTCACAATGTATTCATGCCACTGAATATAATATAATTAATTTGTTGTCGTCACTGTTCGTCCAGAATAACAATCGTGAACTTTCAAACTACATCATGCATAATTACAATTCTTGTAATCATATACCGTTTACCCCAAATTATGAATGAAATTTTTTTCAGGTTTCCGGATCATCAGAAGGTTCTCGCTATTCTTAGTTGTTACGGGCAACTGCAAATATAAACATAATACTAATATTATTAATATCAATAGCGATGATTTTTTATCCAACTAAAATTGGCGAGCATGGGTGTTTTCATCAAAGGTTAGTAACTATGTAAATCACATTTTTTTCGAATATAAGTCGTCAATAATCTAAACACCTTATCTATTTTCAAAATAACAAATTAATGACGACAGACACAATTTAACACATACTCACACACATATAAGGCAGTTCTTTAAATAAGTAATATTGTAAAGACGACATTGAGTATAATTTTCTATGTTTTGTATTTGTAATATTTAATAACACGCTCACCTTCCTGGCACTACCCAGCTGTTTCCAAACTCGTAAACGTCCGTGACAATGGTCCCATCGGGTTTCATCAGATCGTCTGCTGGATTATCATTATTATTTCCCATCAATCCACAAACGTGCCCGCTAGTCTTACGATCATTGAAAGAAATCTCCACCTCACTTGATTCTTTCAACCATTCCAGGGTCATGCTATTCTTGTCTAGTTTGACAGTCGGATGACCATCGACTATCTCAACTGTGACCTCATTATCCCCAATAACAACAAATGGCCCAATGAATAATTCACCTTTTACCTGCAGATCATATAATGATTGCAAATTGTTGGATAGTCAGCATGTTTAATGATCATATGTGATTACATATTTGAAACAAATATATATGTCCAGTAAAAGTATATATTTATGCAACTAAGTATATTTTCTGTTGGTCATGGCCCGGTTGGTTGGCGTAAACG